TTCACGATGTATACCTTGTCATATACAAATAAAATAAAGAAATGATGTTTACCTACTTAAAAAAAAAAAAAAAAAATAACTTGGAAAACCTTTAATTAAATATTAAAAAATTTTATAATAAAAAAAAAATAATTGAAGTTTGATAAATAGAAATTATTATGATGAATATTTAAATATATTGAGAAATTCAAATATTCAATACAGTCTAATATTTAAATATTGGATAATTTATATTTTTAAAATTATTTATATTGATATAACAGAAGAATTGCATATATTTAAATAAAATAAAAATAATTTGAAAATTTTTATAAAGTAATTTGTACTGCACATTAAATAACAAAACATAAAAATAAAAAAAAAACTTGAAAAAAAAATAAGTAGATAATTAAATATATTTTTAAATAATATATATTTTAAAATTATTTTTTTTTATTAATTCAAGTCAAATATTATTATATTTTTTAACAATTAATTAAAGATAAGTAAAGTATATATTACTTGATAAACTTTTAAAAAATTTTCATTAATATATTTTATTGTTTTTGAATCATATTTAAATATATACAGTATATTAATTAATAATTTTATATTATAATAAATTAATGCAATTAGTATAATAACTAAATTTAATAAAAAATATAAATACATTTTTTATAAAAGAGATTATTTACAATATTTTTTAACTTTTATTTTATATAAGAACTTTTTATAATTTTTTATACTGACAATAGTAATAAATTTATTGATAATATTTAAATATTAAGTTTTTGGCCTATAATAAAAATAGTTTATAGTTGTTTTATAAATCTATAATATCAAGGTATTATAAAAAAAAAGAAAATAATATTTTCAAGTAAAAATTGCTATTTGAATGAAAAAAAACAGATGGAAATAATTGAAATATTAATTTAAAATATATTATTTATAAGTATTATTTATATATTATTTGTAAGTATTATTTATATATTTATATTAATTTAATTTTAAAAAATTTAAATAAATTAAAAGTAATAAATAATTAATATTGTTCTTCTTATAAAACAATATCTTATATATAGTATTTAATCAATTTTTACATAATAAAACAAATACAAGTAATATTTTAACAATAGAAAATAATTGTGAAAATAAATTAAAAGAATTTATTACAAAAAATATTAAAACAAAAAATTTCAAATTAATTATTTAAATTAAAAAATTTAGAAAATTCCAAATTAAATAGTTTTTAATTAGAAGATTTCAAATTAGATAATTTGAATCAGAAAATTCAAATTTTAATAATTTTGAAAATAAAATAAAATAACAATTATATGAAATTATAATAATAAAATAATTAAATTGAATATTAATAATCAAGAAATTGAAAAAATAGTTAAAAAGTAATATACTACTATGGAAAAGAAAAAATATCAAATTATTTTCAGAAATAACAGAAATTAAAAATATAGAATCTTAAAATAAATATAAAAATAAGATATTTATTTTATAAATTTCAAATCCATATGAATTTAAATGTTTTTTCTTTTTTAAAAAAAATTTTTTTTTTAAATTTTTGAATTTTTGAATTATTTTAAAGCTTTTTTTTTTTTATAACATCAAAAATATAATATAAAATTTCAATACATCATAAACTTAAATAAATATAATGAACTTAAAAATTAATTAATAATAAATATAATATTATACAAAAGTTTAATAAATGTCTTGCATTTAATACCCATTTGCAAAAAAAAAAAACAATAAATAAATATAATATTATATCTTTTTAATAAAAAATTTCATAAAGTTTTATTACACCCTGTATATATACATATATATTATCATATATATTATCATTTAAAAAATAATCATCATCATCAAATAAAAGATTTAATATACTGTATAATGACCATTTTCAATTAATTATAATTATATTCATATTTGTTACAATTTTCTAATAAGATATAAATACAATGAACCAAAATATATTTATTTTCGCAATAATAAATTTAAAAATTTATTTATCATTTAGTTACAAACAACAAGGGGAAAATGAAAAATTTTTTTGCCCAAATCATATACTGTACACTACCACAATCAACGTATTTGATCGATCGATGTATCAATTTTTAGAATTTTTTTAAACAAATGTCGACATCAAAATCACTTTTTGCGCAATTATATATTTTTTCCAGCTGATAATTATTATAATCTAGATAATAATAATAATAATAATAATAATAATAATAATAATAATAATAGTAAACTCGATATTTTAATATTTACATTCGAATCTGAATTTTATTTCTTTTATCGTAAAGGCGACTTAAATTTTGGAAAAAACAACAGCCAGTTGTAAAATCTGGACATAGCTTTTTTTGAATTTCAAAAAAAGTCTCAAATAAGTAAGGTCATTAAATTCAAATAAACGTGGTTTTTTCTTTAATTAATAGACAATCAACATGCTAAAAGATTTCGAGGAGGTTTTTATTAATGAATTCCTTTAGCCAATAGGAATTCCAAAGCTCTTTCATAGCTTAATAATTATTAAGCAAAGATAATATTTTTTTTACGCCATATGATATCCTATGTTACATATTTGGTTTAAAAAATTAATCAATTCTGCAAATTAGGTTAAATTTTTTCTAATGTCAGAAAATGAATTCAAGCCGAATCTCTCGGGGTGACCATACTTTAATTTATTCTGAATACAATTATGGTTTCGGTTCAAACATTATGAGACTGATCATTTTGAAAATCATATGAAATACCAAAATTGTAACAAGAACATTATGCAGACAATAAAGAATCGTTGATGTTACACGAAAACTATACATGTGGCGAAAATATGATTCTAAAAAAATATATATCAAGATAACATCACCAGTGCTTAGTTAAAAAGAGAGAGATTATGCACCAGAATGGTTAGCAGTGAGAAGTAGAATTGACTTATTATATATTTAAATTTTAGTGGCGTGTGAATATATATCCTTTCCAATATCATTTAAATCGTTTCACGTGAGAACAAAGATCCGACCTATGATGTCACGCAGATTTAAAGATTTAATTTTGTAGAGTAATTTTTTCTATTCTTGCACTAATAGTGATGATATGTTGATACGAATACATTCAAAAACATGCGACTTTGAACATTATAGGCGCACTATATACAGTACATATGATATGATCTATACAACATATCTGTACAGTATCGCTTTGTTTTTTTTCTTAACTAGCATTATACAATTAACACTCTCACATCAAAAAGAACTTTCCAAATAATATAGGCGCCAAGCGATCTTTATGAGTTTTATTAAAAAAATAAAAAGAGGCATCACACTTATGCTATCTATAGATTTTCCAAAAATAGTATAATCTACCATGTCAAGGTGGATCGATTCTTTATGCACCGCTGACAACTGAGGAAGGCACAAACTTTTTATAAAAAAAAAAAAAAAAATACTTGATCACAAATTGAAATTGATGATGGACTTGATGTTTTGAAAAACAATTTTTATGTAAATATTAAATTAGCGAGATTTATTAATTTTTTTTTTTTTTTGCATTCAAAATTTGATATTAAGAGGGAGGGAGGTAAAGTTAACAATTATTATTAAAAAATACGTATATTATATATTTCTATATGAGATAAATTCATTATCCTTGATGTGTAAAATTGTTCATATTCCATAAGTCGACGTTGTTGTGTATGTAGTCTTGCATATATGCATTATTGTATCCGTACGAGGGAAGTGTAGAGGGTATATACATGTGCATAGGATAGGGCACAAATTTTCGATTAGATATGTAATAACTATTAGCATTATCCCGTTGGACATAAATCTCCCGTATGTGTTTCGCCAGTTCTTCGTAAACTTCTTTTTCTTCAACAGAGGAATTTCGCCAAAGTATGCCCGTAACCTTTGAGATTACTCGCATATTACAAACACCAACTCGTTTTGCTTCTTTATGGACGTTCTTTCGGCACAAGAGGAAAGCATTAGGAGATCTTTTGGGCACTTTATTTTTAGAGTGCGCGGCCAAGACCAACTCTTCTGGATCGTTATGATGTGGGGGAAAGATTCTGTTTCTATCCAACTGGCAAATCAGAGATTCAGCCAAACCGTCCAGCGAAAATTCAACAGACATTTTGGAATCCATTTCGAGATGTGCAAAGTTTTGAAGAACTAGAATTCTATGACCTTGTGATAAATTGTGAGGGGGGGATTTTTTTTTGAAATAATTTACTTTTGAATCGCTGGATTTAAACAAAAACTTTACACCTAAAATCAATTTTTGAAGGGAAGGTTATTTGGTTTATATAGGAATTTTTATGACAAGAATCGACCATCCGTTTTCAATGCCGCTTAGCCAAATTGAATTGGTAAATGGATCCTAATAATTTTTTAATACTACATCGACCAGGCCGACGTTCTTTACATGAGAAGATCCGAAAATCAGCATGTGCCATATAGCGTAATTAATCATGTAGTGCAGACTACGTTATGATCTCCCTACAAAGTACTGTATCCGCGTATACAGTAATATATTGATCAGAAGAGATTTTTTTTTTTCGCATGCATTTTTTTTTGCAAAGTGTCTTTTTTTTCACAAAGCTACACAATGATTATCCGTCAATGTTACATAAATAGGAATTTTTGATTTCGATATGAAGGGATATCCCGAAGATATTTTAATTAATTCTTAATAGAAACCCTTCACAACTTAGTGCAATATTTAATAATAACATGTTTATGCTATTTATTACTAAAATAGATATATTATAAGAGTCGATCAAATACAACATTTAGAAGGCGAGCATGTGACCTCTAGTACAGTCACGAAAAGCTATTCGGAAAGAGAAAATCAATTTCGAAGTTTGGCGTACTGTTTTAGGCAATCGACTATGACTATGTAAGGGACAAATACTGTAATAATAAAATACATTATCGCTTTTATTGTTGAATTCCTATGTTCGAAAAATATTTGAATTCACGGAGTAGCTATGCAAGTAAAATTTTAAATTCCTGAAAGTCTTGTTTGATAATCAATTATATCTAAAAATACTGTACAATAACATAATAATACTGTACATATTTGTTGTTTATCGATGTAGAATTCATTTTACGAAAAGGATATATTGGAAAAATCTGAACCATATTTATAGAATATGCAGATAACAAACTATTTTTTTGTTGCGAATCTGCGAATCGCGGAAATGGGTCCATATGTAACGTGATTTAAAATTGCCTGGAATCCCTTTTTAGAAAAAAAGTACAAGGTAAAAGAAAGTAAATAAATTAATAATTATGATAATGCTTGTGCCTATCAATTTGTGCTTTCAGGAAATGGGTTTCGTTTTTATTGTTCCTTTAAAATTTTTTCATTTTTTCGTAAATACTGTACATACAGTTTTATTCAAAGATTATACTAGTTATCATGAAATAATTGATGAAATTACTATAAAATATTATTTCAATTAATCTTATGTTTAAATTCGCAAGTAATTATCAACAGAAAATATATTTTTTCCAATTATAAACTTTTAAAGAAAATTTATTACGTAACGAGTAAACGGCGAGTCTATCGCAAATTCCTAAAAAATTTGCGTAACCGTTAACTGGTGATTAAGGACAGGAGGTAAATGATGAGATGTTGTCATTTGACCAAGAACTATTTTTATTAACTTTTATTCTTCAAACCTTCATGTATATTTTTCTTGGCTTACATAAAATTAATTAAACAGATGAAAATAGAGAATATAGAAATAGAAAATAGAGCATTATCACGAAAGGAATATGTAATGATTTTCATAATGTTCTTTTTCCGTGGTTACATTTCGTGATCATTAATTTGACCGGTCATGCCAGAATGAGATCTCAGCGTACACCGATCACGTGACGAATGGTAGTATCGCCGTTCATCCTGTATTACGATACCCATATCGCAATACCTGATGCTGGTATGTGAGAATTAAACTCTCCTTCATCCCTTACATTATAAAATATTGTTTGTGATTTTTAAGCTCACTATGAAATCAAATTTGATCGAGAATAAATATAAAAAGTACTCGTAGAATAATATAAATGTTATAAAAATTTTTTTACATATAATGTTAAATTAATCTATATAAAATTTTATATTTCTTATATTTCATACTCTTGCATTAAACTGATAATGCATTGCATTTTAATTATAATAAAAATTGTAAAATATGTCACACCTTAACATTATGATTAATTAATATATTTATATTTATTTTTCTTTATTTTTTCTTTATAGATAAACATTATTTCTTTATTTGATTTGTATATGACAAGATATACTTAATATATTTATTTTTATTTAAAAATTATATGTTAATTTATCTTTAAAAATAATCATATATATTAAATGTTTAATATATGTATTATTAATAGATAATAATATATTATAAAACATAGTACTAAAAAACAATATTTCTTATATATAAATGTAATAAATTAAATATTAATATGTTTATAATTAATATTAAAAAAAATAATTCAAAACAATATATAATTTTAAATAATATCAAATAATAATAAATATTTGTTTTTTTTTTATAAAGTAGTTAGGTACAATAAATACAAGATTTTATTGATATATATATTATATTCAAATTACATTTAAGAGCTTACATAAGTTTTTACTCTATAGATTATTTTTACATATATATTTTCATCTCTGAATTTTGGTTCTATTACTTAATAATTTACTTAAATATAATTTTGAGAGGCAGATCTATAAAAATAAAAATCTTATTACTAGTTTTAAATTACCTAACCTATTTTAAATCTGGCTTACAAAGAAGAAATAATATTATTAATATTAAAAAGCAAGTCTGTTACTTGTGACAGGTCAAACTCATGTAACGTCTAGATATATTATTCTTTTTTTCTCTACTTGAGACATAAATTTGACTTATCTGATCTTAAACTATCACTTACTTACTCTCTTTTTCCTTTTGTCATTCTTCTTTGATAGTTCTAGTCATAAATCCTATTGATAACTTCCAGAACAATCCTCTTATAGCAATATTCTTTTAGAAGATAAGTTAATTAATAACTTTCTTTTAAGTGCATTTATCACATCATCATTTATAGTAACTTTTAATTAATATTCACACAACTGTTTTGTGTTTTTACAAAAATGGTAATTAAATTTTATTAAAGTTTTTTTTTTCTTAAATTATTCTCCCTTATTTATATTACTATGACTATTGGCTATATGACTATAACTCTATGACTCATAAACTACTAGACTATAAAATAAACTATCTAAGTTTTTTATTACATTATAGGTCTATTTCTAAAGTATTTCCATTATTCTGATTAGGCATGTTACACAAATGTCACATTGCCAGGTCTTATTGAAGCAATTTTTTCACTAACAATATTTAGAAATATTAGTTTCAAATACTTTCTTTTATTTTATTGCCTAAATCTCAAATTATAACTTATATTAATTCTAAACTTATACAATCTATAACTCTTCTTATTATCTGTAATAGGTATTATTCTTTTAAACTTTATATAAAATTGAAATAATCCAGATTAAAGCTTTAATTAAATGTTATATAAAATTAGTACAGCCTTGTTTATATATTTAAACATGTTATATTTTTTATTTCCAATAATTATCACATTACTTTATCTTTTTTAGAAGTCACAATTTCAATGTCTATTGAATTAACATATAAATTAGCTTTCTATAAAAAATATCACTTATCAAATTATAATATTATTATATATCACTTCTACCTTTGAAGAAAAATAAAAACAGAAAACAATAACAGAAAAATATGTTAGATAAGAGAAACTAATATAATATGCTAAAGTTTTTAAAAACATATAAATTAATAAAATTTTAAAATATATAAGGTTAAATAAAAGAAATAAAAGTAATTTGATTATAAAGATCAATTTATTTATTTTGATAAAATAAAAATTTAAGCCTGGTAATTTCTAAGCAAAATTGAAGACTTTATATTGTTAGCATCAAATTTGTAGTAGGGGGCATGACATGACATGTGGGGCCCGGCGCAGCGCCGCACGGGGGATCAATCA